TAACCGTTTTGGGTTTAGGGAGTTTAGGGTTTTAGGGTTTAGGAGTTTAGGGTTTTAGGGTTTAGGGTTTTAGGGTTTTGGGTTTAGGGCTTCGAAGCGAGGAAAAACATGCCTAGAAAATGCTTATAGCGGCTACAGCCTATATGGGATCTTCCGAAAATTAGGGTACCTTGTTTGGGGCCCTTATAATAAGGATCCTATCATTTAGGGTACTATCTTAGGGTCCCGTATTTTCGGACACCCCCATATAGTATTGCCCAGAGCCCATCTTGCTGGCCCTGCTAAGTCAATTTCAAGTCCGTTTCGAAAGAGCTTCCAAGTTGGGCGTTGGGGATTTAACCCTAAACCCTAAACCCTAAACCCTAAACCCTAAACCGCTATACCTGGCGTTTCGGCTTTTAAACTTATACAGGATCGCTTGGTCTAAGACTCGAGGATCGTGGTCTTAGAGTGACGCAGCCTTTGAGCCAGAGTCTTAGCCAGATTCTCTTAAGGGTTTGGGGTTTAGGGTTTTAGGGCTTAGGGTTTAGGGTTAACGGACACCGGCAGCCCATTATAGGCCTTCACTGCACGAGGGTGCCCCTCAAACAAGGCCCCGAAGGTCTGTTTTGAAGCCTGTGTAGATACCTGTGTTTTTCCCTGGGTACTATTATGAGACCATGACATACTCCGAAAAGCTTAGGGTTTAGAGCTAGTCTGTTGTTTAAGGCATTTTTTGAGGCTCCGATAGTACGTTCTTCGGCGCTGTCGCGCAGGTGGCTTCTGGAGAGAAGTTGGATCCAGACGTCACAGATACAGTGAACGTCGACGAGGAGGTGGCTCGCAGGGGTCGGAAGTAATCAATAATACCGCTTAGTTACCTTTCGTCAATATAGTAATTAGAGTTAGCATCTATTTTATTCTTCGGGTGCCTACAGTATCTGAATCACCGTCAACGTGGCTGGGCATGGAATAGTTCTGCAATGGAACAAGTGGGGGAAGTTGGGGGAAGTTATAGTAGAGGTCTGAGTACATGTTGTACTGAAGACCAGAACCCTATTCAGCATGAAGGCCTCCATATTGCAGATAGCATTGAGGGAAGGCTGCACATAGGGCTCGGCCAGCAAGGGACCTGCTATCCACAACCAACGGCTTTCGGTTTAGAATATAGGGGTCGGAACAATTAGCAATAAAATTCCTTGGGAACCCTTAGTATAGCGGTACCTTGCCGAAACTACTTGGAGGAACATCTCTTGCGAGCATGCAGCCGCGTTGTTTGATTCGTTCCGTTGGCAGGTGAAAGGAGAAGAAGGAGAAGTCCTGCTACTTGTCTGAAGCAGCCGCACCTTACAGGTTTTCCCTGTGATACAGGGTTTAGGATATCGGGTTTAGGGGTTTAGGGTTCAGTGTTTAGGGTTTAGGATTCCAGTACTGCGACCATCCAACTAGGTAGGTTCAGTTGTAACTGTCAGCCGGATGAGCCGACTATCAGGGACTCTGAGGTCCATTCCGGCTACTTTGGAGACACTTGTGGCAGGTTGTTGCATAATATTCGACGTCCTGGGACTCTAAACTAGCCTAAGTTTTCTCCTAAACCCTGTAGGGCTTGGGTATGACTTCGAGAATCTTCGGGATTTTGAGATACACGATTTTAGGCTGAAGGTGGAAAGCTCAGTACCGAGCAGCCTGAGCAGCGTTTCTACCAACCAGATTGAGCACATTACTATTACTACGTAAGTTGTTGTTCTCTTCTGACATGGCCATTTACTTATCACTGAGGTTGATCGTTGGTTGCGCTTCTGGGGTTACTTTATTCATTTCTAGAAACGTGTAGATTGCTACCATCAATTTCTGCACAAAGGTCTTCCTAATTACTCCCTTGCGGCCAGAAGCGACCGTCATCATGATCTAGGCAACGAAAGCCTTTTTGGTTGGTCTTTGTTATTGTACTGCGACCACGCCTAACTGATGGGCATCTCTCCTCGCCAGTCTTGCCGTTTTGTCCGCAGCCACGCCTGAGCTGTGCTTTCATTGTGAGCACTGCTGCAATGATTAGCTCGAATACTTCTCTAGCACAGCAAATCGTCACATCTGTGTTTAGCCAGTTGATCATGCTTATCGGCTTCTGCCTATTTGTTATTCATGCTATTGCACTTATGTTGCTTGTGTTTCGTGATGGCATCGGGAAGTAGATCTTCAGCGCTGTCAATTCACAGGGAGGCTGCAGCCCTTTGACTGATGTCCTAAACACAACCCAGGCCCTGTGTTCCGAGTCTTTTCTCCTCTGTGTCTTCCTGTCTGTGTGCGTGTGTCTGTGTTCATCTCGCTCTCTCTCTCTCTCCCTCTCTCTCTTTCTCTCTCTCTCTCTGTCTCTCTCTCTCTCTCTCGTTCTTTCTCTCTCTCTCTCTCTCTTTCTCCCTCTCTGGCGCTCCTTCTTTCTCTCTCTCTCTCTCTATGTCTATCTATCTATCTCTCTCCCTTCTCTGATTTAGGTGAACAAGAGGAGGCCAGCCTTGCCGCAGGTACATCAAGCTTACAGATGGGCGTGGCTATGTGGCGGTTCTGGATGGCATGCGTGACAAGCTGCCGGGCGTGAATTTCAAACTTGGAATTTGTTGGGTTGACACTGGTGCTAAAGTTGAGCTTGCTCACAATCCGTTTCGGCACATCTAACAGGTAGTGCTCAACCCCAGCACCCTCAGTGTCATCTGCGGTCAAAGTCTACGAGCAGTAGTCAGTATTCACTTCCTTCTACTCAACACCCCCCAGCACTAAAAGCACTTTCCCCAACACTAACCAAAAATAGCCCTGCCTCGAGCGTTAGCAACACAAGGAGGAAGAGCAAGCGCAGGAGCAAGAGCAGAAGCAAGAGCAAGCAGAGAAGGATCCTGCAACAGTGACAGCGCAGATAACCGCTCCCCCCCCGCCATGGTAAACACACTTTCCGATGTTCTATTTCAGAGTGGGTCAGTAGGACGGAGTAGCTGTTGCAATGGTCGTTGCTTTTCTGCTCGTGGTGGCGGTTGTAGTGCTGGTAGTGCTGCCGCTGCTGCTGCTGGTGGCGGAGGGGTTGGTGGCGCTCTTGTTGAACAGCCATTCGTACTGTTGTTTGTTGTTGTCGGTGTGGTTGGTTTAGATGACGTGCGCTTTAGGCTGCCAAGGCGTGGTGTGTTCCTTGTGTCTGTTGTACATGCGCAGCCGGCACTTTGTCACGTGTTGGTTGTTGGACGATGATGTTGTGTGTGTGTGTGTGTTACTACCGTTGACCATGTCGCTGCTGCTGATCACTTGCTTGAGCGAGCTACTATTTACTGATCTTACCTAAGCTGAAACATTAAATCCTAACCCTGAACCTCCTCCTCCTTCTCGTCCTACCACTGGTACTACTACTACTACTACTACTACTACTACTACTACTACCACTACTACTACTCTTACTACTTTAAACAGTAGTAATATCACATTGATCATAACAACTAAGTCCAGATCCTCGGCACGATGCATACCCAGGATCCTCAAAAGCTACCCTTGCTGGATCCTCATAGAAAGGCGTCCTTTAAAATACACCCTCAACACCACACCAGGAATCCCAACAAGTAATGATAATGACAAAACTGTTAATACCAGCAGTTTTAGTAATACCGGTAGCTTAGCAAGAGTGACAGTAAGAACCATGCCAAATTTCACCAGCAGCAATACTGAGAACATTAACTAGTAGCGATGGTAGTAAGAAGAACCATCGTGATCACAAGAGCAACCACAATACCAGTACGAATCAGAATAGTATTCTTCACCATAAACCCTAAACCCTAGTAAACCCTAAACCCTACAGCCTAAAACCCAAACCCCAAACCCCAAACCCCAAACCCTAAACCCTACACCCTAAACCCTAAAACCCTAAGCCCTAAACTTCCCTAAACCCTAAGCCCTAAACTGCCCTAAACCCTAAACCCTAACCCTGAAAACCAGGATCCTGAAGAAGTGTCATCCCTGGGACCTGGTCATCGCAGAAGCCTCGGAGGCAAGCGATGGATGCCTAGACGGTCGGGAGGATCCGTTTTTGGGGGTTTAGGGTTTAGGG